TACAAATGATTTTAAAAGAGTTTAAAATTATTTGTTTATTATTATTATGATTGATTTTTAATATTGATTAAGAATTAAATAATAATAATATAATAATGAGAAAGATGGGATCTTGCACATTATTATATTGTTGTAATAACTTGTAGAAATGATACAAGATATTTTAACATGTCTTGTGAAAATTATTCAAGTCATAAATTGTTATGGTTGAATTTATTTATCATTTCTTGTAAAAGTTATACAAGACATATATATTTTATAACTAAAAATTTAGTATAAATATGGGCATGGTTGATGTTCATATTTGCTAAAATTTGTGTTAACAATTTTACAAAGTGTTGAGAGCTAAAGAGTTAGTTTTTCAAGTGTTGTAATATCAAGAAAAATTCTTGTAATTTTCTCCTCATAATATATATTTCTATACTAAGTTATAAAATCGAGTGAGTTTCTACTAGCCAAGGATCATCTCGGTGTTGGAATACAAGAGGTGGATACTCTTAGAGGGAAGACACGTGGATTCCTAAAGCGAGCAACCCAAAGCGATCGTTGTTCAACCGGGAACCGATTTCCTCAACTACCGTCGTCTTTGAAGGAGTTCAAGACATATTAGGTAATATTTGATATTACTTGTAACAAATCAAAATTTGTATTATTACATGTTTTTAAATATGACGATTTGTTAATTCGCCATATGTATATACGGGTTAAGTATTTAAGTGTTAAATACTTGTTTTGAAAAATTTTAAATTCCGCTGCGTATAGCCCGTACGGTACAGGCGAACCCAACAGACATTTTGCTAGTCGATGTCTGAAGAAACTCCAAGCGCAGCCACAGCAGCAGCAATAGCCCCGACAGTAGGTTCAGAGGCTACCCCAGCAGCAGCAGAGGGGTAGACAGCAGGCCAGAGTTTATGCGATTGATCAGGCTGAGGCAGAACAACACCCAGGTACTATGTCTAGGATGCTTATGCTTAATGATATTCCTATCTTCGCCTTGTTTGATACTGGAGCGACTCATTCATTTATATCACGACGATGTCTCGATGCCATTGGAGTTCATGTTGTTACCGTTGTCGATCCTCTCGAGGTGAGTCTAGCCTCGGGACGAAAGATACTGACTTCAGCTAGAGCCACAGATCTCAGTCTCTCTATCGGTGGTCGTATATTGTCTACCGATGCTTATGTTCTCGAGATGAGGGACTTTGACCTCATACTCGGCATGGATTGCCTAACACGTTTTCATGCAGATATTCGATGTCATGACCGGGAGATTATTCTTTCTCTTCCGGGAGATGATCAGATTACTTTCTTCAGTACTAAGACTCGTTCATTGCCACATGTTATTTCTATGGCGAAAGCCAGGAAGATGTTGCGACGAGGCAACTGTCAGGGTTATCTCGTCAGTCTTGTCGATGATTCTCCGAAAGCACGAACACCTCACGACGTTCCTATTGTTCGTGAGTTTGTGGACGTGTTTCCGGACGAGCTTCCAGGAGGGCCACCTAACCGGCAGGTAGAGTTCTCCATTGATCTTATTCTAGGAGCCGGTCCAGTCTCCAAAGCACCCTATCGTATGGCACCGAAAGAATTGCAGGAGCTTAAGGCGCAAATCCAGGAGTTATTACGACTCGGTTTTATTCGACTGAGCGTGTCACCATGGGGAGCACCCGTTCTCTTTGTCAAGAAGAAGGACGGATCCATGCGCATGTGTATTGACTACCGGGATCTTAACCGGTTGACGATCAAGAACAAATAACCGCTTCCCAGGATCGACGATTTATTTGACCAGCTGAGTGGAGCTTGTGTTTTCTCTATGATTGATTTGCGATCAGGCTACCATCAGCTGAAAATCAAGGAGTCAGATATTCCCAAGACCGCTTTCCGTACTCGTTACGGTCATTATGAGTTCGTTGTCATGCCATTCGGACTCAGCAATGCTCCAGCTGTATTCATGGATCTGATGAACCGTATCTTTCATCCCTATCTTGATCAGTTTGTCATTGTTTTCATTGATGATATTCTTATCTACTCCAAAAGCCAGAAGGAACATGAGGAGCATCTGAGGGTTGTTCTTGAAACCCTTAGACGAGAAAAGTTATATGCAAAATTCTCCAAGTGCGAATTATGGCTCCATCGAGTAGCCTTTCTTGGTCATGTGATTACGCAGGCAGGTATTGAGGTTGATCCCTCCAAGGTTGCAGCTGTTCAGAACTGGTCGACACCAAAGAGTCCGTCCGAGGTTCGCAGTTTTCTCGGTTTGGCTGGTTATTACCGCAGAT